CCAAAGCCCCTCTCCAGGTTTCCTGCAGCCCCTTTAGGCACTGGAGCTGCTCTAAGGTCTCCCCTTCAGGAGCCTTCTCTTCTCCAGGCTGAACAACCCGTACCCATTCCAGATCCCCACATGAAGCACAGGCTGGTTTATGGCTCCCCTTTAGAGCATCACAAGGAGGATGCTGAGAGCAGGGAGCTCAAAACCCTGCTCTGCCAGCGCTGCTGGGCATCGGTCCATGGGATGAGCCAGGATAGAGCCGGGCATCCCGGCCGTGTCCTGGGCTGTCCGGTGACACCAGAGCCCTGCTGTGCAGCTGAGCACGGTGGATGCCAGTGCAAGGCCCCGGTCACGAGCTCGGCTATCTTTAGCTGAAGGTATTTATATTCCAGGGCAGCGGCGTGGTGGCCACCGGGCAGGCAGCAAAGGCATCAGAGGAGGCAGGAGGGGGCTACCCCACCAGGCCTGGGCGAGGATGACCCCGGAGGAGGAAGGCTCGGAGGCAGGGCCCCCGCAGCACGTGCGGATCCGGGTGGAGGAGCAGGCGTTCTGCGTGGAGAAGGCGCTGCTGGTGGAGAGCAGTGAGTACTTCCGAGCCCTGTTCCGCTCGGGCATGAGGGAGAGCACGCAGGAGGAGATCGGGCTGGGGGAGCTGAGCGCGGCCGGGTTCTTCACCATGCTGCGGGTGCTGGCGGGCGAGCGGCCCGTCCTCGGCAGCGAGGAGACCTTCCAGGCGGTCGAGTGCGCCGCCTTCCTGCAGGTGAAGCCCTTGGCCAAGTTCTTGATCAACTCCATCAACTCCGACAACTGCATCCTGCTCTTCCAAGCCGCTGCCATATTCGGCCTCCTGGACCTCTTCCACCGCGCCGCGCTCTACATCAGGGACAGCTACGCCGAGCTGGAGGAGTACCTGGACTGCCTCCCTGCCGACCTGCTGGCCTATGTGGAATCCCTCCTGCCCAGCACCTTTGTGGCAGTGGGAGCCCATACACCCACCTTCGAGTTCTTAGAGGACCTCTCCAGGACCCTCTGCTACCTGGATGAGGAGACCAACACGTGGCGGACCCTCTCCTGCCTGCCGCTGAGCGCCAGCACGTTCCTAGCCGGCATGGCGACCATGGATAACAAGATCTACATCGTGGGTGGTGTGTACGGGGCCAGCAAGCAGGTGGTGGAGAGCAGCTTCTGCTACGATGCTGACACCAACACATGGAGCGAGTTCCCCAGTCCCCATCAGCTGCGCTATGATGCCAGGCTGGTGGCGCATGAGGGCTTCCTCTATGCCATCGGTGGGGAGTACGAGAAGATCTCACTCAAGTCCGTGGAGAGGTACGACCTGGCCTCCAGCACGTGGACGTTCGTCTCTGACCTGCCGCAGCCCAGCTCAGCAGCGCCCTGTGCCCAAGCCATGGGGCAGATCTTCGTTTGCTTGTGGAAGCCGCTGGACACCACCATCATCTATGAGTACCAGACCCAGCAAGACGCGTGGCTTCCCATCACGGAGCTCAAGCGGCAGCAGAGCTACGGGCACTGCATGGTGGCCCACCGTGACAACCTCTACGTGATGCGCAACGGTCCCTCGGATGACTTCCTGCGCTGTGTCATCGACTGCTTCAACCTGACGTCGCGGCAATGGACCGCGCTGCCCGGGCAGTTCATGAACAACAAAGGCGCCCTCTTCACCGCTGTCATCAAGGGTGACACCATCTACACCGTCAACAAGATGCTGACGCTCCTCTACTCCGTGGAAGAGGGGACCTGGAAGTTGAAGAAGGAGCGGGCAGGTTTCCCACGCAGCGGCTCCCTGCAGACCTTCCTCCTGCGGCTGCCGAGGCGCGACCACAAGATCGCGACGTAGGTGAGCCCCCGTCCCACATTGGGATGCTCTCCTTGCACGTGGCCTCCGCTCTGCTCCCCACCCTGGGCTCCAGATCCAGGGATGCTTCATGATGGACCTCAGAGGTGATGCTAGACCCTATCAGAGGGAAAGGGGCTGCAGGCAGCTGCTGCCTGCCCTGCATGGGCTGTGTATGAAGTCCTATCAGACGTGGGCTCATGAGCTGACCACGTGCAGGGCTTCACGGCTTCTGCAGAGGATGGATAGCAGAGAGATGCAGACACGGGGTTTATTTATTGTGACCGCATCCTGAAGGTGAGCAGCATCCCACCTCCTCTGCTCCCATGGGAAATCATCCATTCTACCCTGGCATTAAAAGGAAGGCTATTAACCCCCCCTGTGCTTGCCGTTACTGCTGGGTTTGGGGTTTTTCTGCCCCTATTTCCAAAGGAAACTCCTCCTGACGGGACCCACGTCAGGGCCCGCTCCTGCCCTCTGAGTGCTTTTTCAGCTGTTTGAGAGCCCTACGTGGGAGCACGGTTCCCACACAGCCCCTGCTCCCTGGGGAGGGCTCCACGGCTGCTCCCGGGCACAGCGGGGTCCTGGGAGGAGGAGCAGAGAGGGGGAAGTGAAGGAAAGGGTTCCTAGGCACCGGTGCTTAACACATGGAAGGGTTTGGGGGGACCCAAAGTCCGTTACCCCCCCCTCGGCTCCTCCAGGCTCGTCTGGAGCCCCAACACAGACACAATGGGGTGGCTGGGGCAAGTGCTGGTGCTCGCTTTGAACCCAGACACAGTCTTTTGAGGACACAGGAAACCTTGGAAATGCAGAGGATGCTAAAAGGGAAGGAGAGGAGAGCACCAGCATTGCATAGCGATGCCAGAGTTCCCATGAGGTACCACTGCCCAGTCCTCAGCACCAGCTCTGGGGATGGCTGGAGGACACAGAACCCCCCCTTCTACAACCACAGCACTGCTGACAGACCCATGGGGACCAGGGCAGCAGCAAACCCAGCCCATGGCTCAGCTGGTTTCCCATCCATGAGGCAGGCTTTGGGCTGCCTGTGCCATCCCAGCAGAGACGGAGCGGTTGGGAACAGCAGCTGGGATGCCTCAATGCCTCTGCTCCGGCCCTTGCCGAGTTCCCAGCCCTTTCAGAGCAGTTCCCTCAGTTGAGGACAAACCCCACAACACCGCCACAAACCAAACCAAAGAGGAAAACCCCAGCTCGTGCCCATGTCCAGGGTGAAACCCATTGATGCACCTTGTCCCCGTTTGCCCTCTGCCACTGGGCCAGGCCAGCATCGCTCCAGCAGCACCAAGTGATGAGAAACCCCCCACCTCCACACTGTTTGCTGTGCCAGGGCAGGGGTTTACAGAGGTATTTGCCAACAGAAGGCTGTAAGTGTAGCACCTGCACAAAGAGCAGGTCTTGGCAGGCACTGTTGAGTCCAGCATGGATGCTCCCATGAGCTGTTGGATCCATTAATCCAAACCACGACATAGAAAGCAGCACAATGTGGTTCTAGGGAGCAAAAAGATACGGTCCTTACCTCTGCAAGCAGGGGATAAAAACGAGCCAGGACCAAGCAAATGCCTAAGGAAAGCTGCTCAGCCGCTGCACAGTGAGTGGGCACAACTGCAAGTGTGCCTTGTGTTGTTGGAATCTAGCCCTCAACATCACACATTACTGGCACCACCACAGCACCATTATCTTCCCCTTTCAGTCTGCATGGTGTTTACTCCACCAAAGATCTCAGTTCGAGGCAAAGTGATGTCTTTAATCACAGTTTAACCTTTTGCAAGTTCCTCTTTTAAGGTGACACCATCTTGGCAAGGATGAACGTAAGGAAAAGCTGCTTTAGAATGGACTTGCCTTATAAGGGCCATATCAAAAATAAAAGCTTGTATAACCCAGGGAAAGCTGGAGGAAAAACAGGGCTGGGAGCTCCATAACGAGTGTCTCCCTTGGTCATCCAAGGTGCCACATTCTCCTTTTCAATGCCATGAAAGAAGAGCAGGTATAAAGCATCCCTGGGTATGGACAGGGCTCAGTATGCATCCAGGCTCGGATGGAGGCAGCCCTGGAGGCCTGTGCCCTCCTGCTGGTGCTTGCACCTACCTTGAGACACAGGGAGAGGGGACACGGTGTTTCAGCTCGAGGGCTGGGAGGTTGTTTGGAAGGGTACAATGGAAAAATGGCACTAATGCAACTACTTCAGGGTTTCCCTACTTGGATGTGCCAGCTGGCATTCCCATAGGAGACACAAGAAGAACCCCTCCAACCATCTTTACTCGAAGCTATTACATCTCTATCTAATTCACAGGAAAGCAATCTACTTTAATGTCAAAACACTGCCCACTGTTCCAGTGCCAAGCCAAGAGACACATCCCATGAGGTGACCCGAATCTTCCGTTTTCCATCCTTCAGCTGCATACAGGAATTCCCTTGGGAATCCAGATTTCCTGATCCTGACATTCGTGTTTAACTTCATTTGGAGCCTGCATCAGGGAAGCATCCCTGAATTTTCCTGATTCCCGCAGAGCACGAGGGCAGCCGAGCTGTTCCCAGTCTCTCTGTTCTGACTTTATGGAATTCCCTGAGCACAAACCCTTGTCTAAGCCATTTCTCATCATGCTGGAGAAACTTCCTGTATTTCTAGAGCAAGGGCAGCCTGGTTTCTTTCTGTATACTCATTGAATTGTGTCTTTTTCTCAAGTTCTTGGTTTAAAAGAGAAGCTGATGTGATCAGACTGGGTATCAATTACAATATCAAACCACAGCTAAGTTGGATGAGACTCTTGCCAAGCCAGGACCAACAAACGCTTCTTCAGGAGCCCTGGTTTTATGAGAGCTGCATCTTCTGTTGGTTTATAGAACCTTTCAAGCACCCACATTGAACTGCAGTTGAAAACACGACACCCATCATCCCCGGTGGAGGAAGAAAACTGAGCTTTGGGTTTTGCAAAACCTAAGGCAAAGGCAGTTTGGATCTTATTGCATCTGATCTGAAGAGCTGAGATGATCACGGGGGGAGATGTGTGGGTGAAGAGATAAGCACTCCTGTTAGAAAGCCTTTGCTTTAGTGCAGTGACACACACGCTTATGGTGGACGTCCATAAACCAGGACTGGACACCAGCCAGTGCTTTGGTGCCCATGAGCTGGGGTGGGATGGAGCAGCAGGAGGGTAAACGTGTGCTGACCCACCCGAGTCCTTACGTGGTCCAGACTGAGGGGAGCTGTGGCTGGGATCCAGGGTGCAGGTCACTGGGCTTTCATCACGAGCTCTTCCAACGCCTTCTCCCTCTGATTCCCACAAAGCAGAAGAACTTCTTTGATTTCATTTTGCTGGAAACCCATATCATTGAACTGAGATAACAGACGCAAGAATTCAGCTGCCTGGAGGAAGGAGGAAGAGAAGGAGAGATGCTATCATGGGGTTTAAGGCTGGATTTACCATAGTTAAGAGCTGAAACAGGGCTGGGTGACGAGGCTGCAGCCATGCGGTCTGGCTGGGTTGTATTACCAGTGAAGGGCACACTGAGAGCAGGCTGAGGGCACACATACCACTGCTAGTGTTTAAAAATGTGCCTTTACATCAGCTCTTGAAATCAGAAATAGTTACTGAAGTCAGGCTCTGGCTTCGCTTATTCCTTGCAAGGTTTAACAGAAATTCCATGCAAGTGTTTGTCTGTGCTAGAGAGACGGGTAAAGGCAGGGAACACAAGCTGGAATTCATCTTTCCTGCTCCCCCCTTGCTCAAGCTGGGCCCCAGCACCACAACATCACCCAGAGCCATGTCCTCAATAAATAACCCCCTGCCTGACACCGAGCCCCAGGTGCCCTAGAGAGCAGTGATTGCGATCCTATGTGCCATCAGCATCCTGTCAGTCACCACCAGCCCCTGTTTCAAAGCAGTTCTACCCCTCCTGGCCCTTCATTACCCCCAGGAGGAGCCTGATGATGAAGACAACCCCTGCTGTGCCACCAGGGTGGTTCTCTTTGGGGGGTGAATGCAAAAGGGGAGCAGGGAGGGTGCAAGCGTGGGTGCTGGTGGGCTCAGAGTGAGGGATTCTCTGCTTGGGGGTTGAGTGAGCATCATGCTTGCACAGTGGGGTGAGAGGATGCACGGAAAAGAGCAATGAAATGAGTGTCCTGTGTCCTTCCCTGGGGATCCCTTGTGGTGATGCTGCACTGGGGCTCTGCTGCGGGTGCAGGGCAATGGGTCTGACCTGCCCAGAGCCTGTGTGAGGGACAGTGGAGGTGGAGAGGAGCTTGCAGCCCGCTGGAAAAGCGAGCCCGGAGCACACAGCACAAAGGAATGAATGGGGTGGGCTGCCCCACTCTGACCTTCTTCTCTGAGTACTGGAACATTTCCATGGCCTCCTCCACCTGCCCTTCCTCGTAGCCCTGCTTCAGCAGCCGGTCACAGGCGCTCAGGTAGCTCAGGAACTGCAGAAGAAGACAAGTGAGGTTAATCCAACCTTGTGGATGCAGGGAGCGACTGCATTCAGGAGCCCACCTTGTAACCTCCCCGGGGCACACTCATGGGGAGGACCTGAGCCACCATCCTGCCTGTGTGGCCCTGTCAGCAGGGAGAAGACAGCATCCCAGTCCATCCCCTCTCCCAGGGTGGAACAGGAGGGAGGATGAGGAGCAAACCAAACACCTGGCCCATCTGAGGTACAAAGCGATGGCCTCAGGCTGCAGGGTGAAGCAGAACCTGTCCCTGTGAGATGCCTGCCCTCAGCCAACCCCGCATCCCTTTGATGCACCATGGGTCAGGCAGCCGAGGGGTTCACTCCAGGGTCCAAGCACAAAACCCACCCCAGGGGAGACCCATGTGTGTCATTACTGAAAGCAAACAGTTATTTTTGGCTTTCCTCGCTGTTCTTGGAGTGCTGACAGCACTATTCCCAGCAGTATCTTTTAAATACCACGAAAATCATTCAGTGTCCAAAACCATATGGAACAGACAATAATAAATGAGCTATACGAGAGCAGGGGGAATAAAAACATCCCTTGGGTCTCCCTGAAGCCGTGCTGTCTTAATGCAAGGAGAAGCTGATTCATATCTCCCCAGATCCACCAGCACAGACCTCACCCTCCCCAGCACTGCATAGCCAAGGAGGAAGATTCAGTAAAAGACCATAAAACATATGAAAAAGCCAAAAAGTCCCTCAGATGCTGAGTGGATCTGGTTTGGCTGAGCAGCAGAGCCAGGAGTTTAAGAAACATCAGCCTTAAGGAGCAGCTTTTTAACTCAAAATCAAGGTAATCTCTCCTCATGGCATTCCTAACCTGGTTCTGCTTTCCTTGTTACCCTGCTAACTACAAACCCAGACCACTGCTGCATTGTATTGCCATACTGCAGCAGGGACAGCCACTTGCCACGCTCATGGCAGAGCACAGACAGTGCTGGCAGCCTGTTCAAACCCAGCATGAAACTGGTGCTGTTGTCAGCTCCATGACTTTTATCATTATATATATATGTATCTATATGTATCTCCTCAGGACTAAACAAAACCAGGCTTTAAACACTATGACCTGCTAACCCCTGGGTCTGGAACCAGCCCCATCCCTCACTGGGGAAGAGGAAGCACCACTAACCTCTCGAAGCTCCTTCTCCCCTTGTAGCTCTCAAAGAGGCTCCTTAGAACACTCAGACATTCAGGCACCCCTGTGATGCACTTTTGGTTTAGCTCTTGGCCCCAGCATCCCAGATGATGAACCCCTGGTGTGTTGGGGCAGCTCCTTGAGCCTTTTAGAGAGGTTCTTCCACCAAGGCTGAGAAGGCATTGCCTCTTTTAGGCAGCAGACCTGCCTTCTTCACCAGGGTGGGCTCTGCCAGCTTGATACTGCAACAGAACTGAGCAGTTCTGGGCTACCATCTGGTGCTACTTAATGATTGAAGCTGTCATCGTCACACACTGAAACCCTGCCTGACACCAACAAGCAATGAAGAATCACAGAATAATTCGGGTTGGAAAGGACCTTAAGATCATCCAGTTCCAACCCCCCTGCCATGGGCAGGGACACCTCGCTCTAAACCATCTCACCCAAGGCTTCGTGCAACCTGGCCTTGAACACTGCCAGGGATGGAGCATTCACAACCTCCCTGGGCACCCATTCCAGTGCCTCACCACCCTCACAGGAAAGAATTTCCTCCTTATATCCAATCTGAACTTCCCCTGGTTAAGTTTTAACCCATTACCCCTTGTCCTGTCACTGCAGTCTCTAATGAAGAGTCCCTCCCCAGCATCCCTATAGGCCCCCTTCAGATACTGGAAGGCTGCTCTGAGGTCTCCACGCAGCCTTCTCTTCTCCAGGCTGAACACCCCCAACTTTCTCAGTCTGTCTTCATATGGGAGGTGCTCCAGTCCCCTGATCATCCTCATGGCCTCCTCTGGACTTGTTCCAACAGTTCCATGTCCTTTGTATGTTGAGGACACCAGAACTGCACACAATGCCCCAGGTGAGGTCTCACGAGAGCAGAGTAAAGGGGCAGGATCCCCTCCTTTGACCTGCTGGTCACGCTCCTTTTGATGCAGCCCAGGATGCCCACAGCTCTTGTTTTTGACTTGAGCTGAAACATCTCCCAGGAAGGTTTAGCCTAGTTTGGTAGCTGTCACTTGTAAGAGACACATGAAGGGCTCGGCTTTACACTTTATCTTGACTCTATTGGGCATAAATGGGAAAGATGGGAACTGATGGTGAAGAAGGTACAGGCTATAAGGCAGACCTTGTATTTCGGTGCATTTATCTCTTCTCCAAGGAATGGGAGTCCCGGTGTTTGTACAGAAGGGAGCAGACTGCCTATTTCCATCCTAACTAAGATGCACTGATTCTTGCTACTGAAGCCAGCAGTTGCTACAAGATCCCTTTGCACGGCTCTGCCCATCTCCCTCTCCCTGGATGAAACCTTCATGCATTGAAGAAATAAAGATTCCCTTCCCTCCTCAGCTTGCAGCAACCATCACCTAAAACACCAGTGAGGGCCTGGTCGAGCCGGAGCTGACTCAGGAAGGAGCCAGAAGCTGCAGAGTGACTCAATCACAGAGCAGCTTCATGCATCAACCAGATGGGTTAGAGCTGGCCCACACAGCACAGGCAGATCCCTGGAGAATGGGAAGCATGAGATGGTTGCTCGGTGCTGTGCCTGCTCACACCTCTGCTCCTGCTCCCTGGCATGACAAGCAGGTGGACTTCCCTCTTGCTAAGCTGTGACCAAGCCCCTTCTCTCTCTGCAAGAGCTACTTGGATAATTAAGCCCTATTAAAAGCTCCACTGGGATGGGCAGGTCCAGCCCCGAACCTGCCAAGCCAGTGGCATCCCTCGTGACATGGATGCTCCAAGCCCACCTGGACCACTGGACAAGCAGAGACCTTTGAATCGGGATGCTGCACACTGATGGACTTGGATAGCAGGGGTAGGAAGAGGTTGTGTGTTAACTATGGACAATAAATTCCAGGTTATTATAGAACGTTCCTTAAGAAAAGAGCTCCAGGACCCAGCCTCGATGCCTGCATGGAGTCCCTGGTTTGCTCCAACGCAGAGAACTTGTGTTTTGGAGAGAGCCCAGAGAAATCCCAGCGGTATTCCCACAATCCCGCTGACAGGATGAGCCATGGCAATAATCACACGGATCTAACAGCTGGGAAAAAACTATGTGCAACACGTTTCCATATACAGAGGCAAAACCTGCACTTCAAAAGGACACGAGGCTCCACGCAGCAGATTGAGCAGATAACGCTGCTGAAAAGCTGAGGGCAACTCCTTTTGTTACAGCACAAGTGCAAATGTGTGATCCCATGGCAAACCCTGCCAGCTGAGGAGAATACCAAAGTGGGAAACCCAAGGCTGTCAGCATCCAGCCCCAAGCGGTACCGCCATCCCTTCCCCATGAAAACCAGGGGTTTCCTTCCCAAAGCGTTCTGCTTCCTGCCAGCTCCACCAACCTGACTTAAGCTTTGCCTTCCAGTCTTCTGGAGGGTGAGGATGGCTTTGTGGGTGGGGTAGCCCAAGGCTATCACGGGCTCAATGAGGTCTCGCTCCTCTTGGCTCAGTGCTGAGAGCAGGTCAGCGGCCGGATCCGGCTGGGATGTGCAGGAGCTGAGGGGTCGTGCAGGCGCAGAGGCAGGGGGGAGGCAGGCGTAGGGGCTGAGGGACTGCAAGAGAAAACACAGCACATGGTCTTCTGGCTCCAGCTCATGGAAGTTCATTAAGAAACCCAGGCTGAAGCAATGCTTCTGAATGGCAGCAGTTACCTTGTTCTCTCCAGAAGAGGAAAATTCCCATACATGGAACAAACCCCCTTGGGCATCAAAGGAGACTGGATTTAATTAAATCCAGGCTCAGCTACAGATACAGATCAGAGAAAACAGCACTTGAGAGGGTTCATGGGAGAAAGCAAGAAAAAGCAACTTCCTTTCCCTGGGAATCCTGCTCATCTCTCCAGCAACAAAAGCCACGCTTGTCCTTGATGGACAAGGAAGGGGTAGCACTGCCTGCAGACAGGCAATGCAGCAGCCCAGGTAGGAGGATGCTCCCAACACCCCATTTATGCCCTTGATGTTTATCAGATAAGATTCAGTCTCTGTTACAAAGCCATCTACAGAAATGACACTGCACACACATGTGCTTGCTGGGGTTAAGGCTTTAGCATCCAGCATGATGCATGTGGAACCTCACTGAGCTTCGTATTATTTAGTGCTCCACATGAAAATCAAATAAGACACCTTGCTCGTTGGGAAAACCAGGGGCATTTTGGTTAGGACAGAGCAAGTAAACGTGCTCCCAGAAACCTTCCCTTTAAACCCGGGGGAAAAAACCCCTTTCCTTCACTTCTTATGAAAACTTGCCAGCAATTTCTCATGGATTCAGTGTTCCCAAACCCCATTTCAGTTCCATTTTGCTGCCCAAACCCCAGCAAACGGGAGCAATTTGATGCCCTCCACCTCCCTCCTGTGTAAGCAGCAAGCAAAGGGCACCAGAAGACAACCCCTCACCGGCACTGTGGGTTTATGCCGTTTGATGGGGGGGATCGGCATGGTGATGGGTGGTGATGGCACCAGGGTCCCCGGCTGGGACGCATCCAGGGCTGGCCTGAACCTGACGCCGCGGCTGGTGTGGGGATGCTGGGGCAGGGGCTGTGGCACAGCAGCTCTGTTCAAAGGGTGCACCAAAGCAGCCAGCTTCCTCCTGGCCGCTTCCAGCTCATTCTTCATGTTGTTAAAGATCACCATGGGTCTCTTCTGCTTGCTCAGGACCGCGCTGGCTGTGCTGTGGATGCTGCTCTCCGGTGAGGGCTCCAGCAAACCAGGTGATGTCTTTGGTCTGGTCTGGTAAAAGCCAGGATGTGGAGCCCCACTTCTCCCAGCATTTCTCCTCCTGGAATTCTTCTCATCCTTGTCGCTCTCTTCCCAGGAGGTCGAGGAGTACTCATCATCCTCCGAGTACCCATCCTCCTCCGAGCACCAGGTCTCACTCTCAGTGTCGGTCAAGGCACCTCTGCCCTTGGCAGGCCCATGGCTGCTGTCAGCAGCGCTCAGGCTGATGCTGCGCCGCACGGGCCCGTCCCGTGCTCTCCCACCATAGCGGTCAGCAGGGTCCACCAGCAGCAGCCAGCACGGGGGAGCCGTGGGGATGACTTCAGAGGTGACCCGATGGCGGGAGGTTTGCTGCTGAGAGGCCACCTCGACCCAGTAAAGCACTTTTCTTTCCAGCGAGAAGTCATACTGGGGAGAGCAAGAAGAGGGTGGTGAGGGCATCTGAGAGCAGACCGGGCAGACAGAGCAACCCATGCCCTTCTCCAGGGAACCTGAAGGGCTGCGTCCTTCCCATACTGGCTCCTTGAGCACTGGGACTATAGGTTTGGGCAGCACCAGCTTCATCGCTACAGGGAATCCCCGATTTTATACTTGAAAAGAGTCTGGCTACAAGGTTATTACTATTTTGAGCTGTACCTGGAAGTGATTTCATGAACCAAGTAGTTTATGCTTGGAGGTGGTTTTGTGTCATTCATCTACTGTGGAAAGGGAGACGGTGCAGACAGATGTGAGCATCCTGATGTCAGACAGCTGCAAGGGCACCACATCCAGCCACAGGCTAAAGGACAGTGGCAGAGCTCATGTGTATACCTCACCCATGGCACCTGACAGAGCCACCTCAACCACAGGGGCTCAGGAGTCAGCAAGGCCGGAGCTGCCACCTTGAGCAGAGGCAGGATAAGCCATGGGCATCTCCGATGGCGCCAGGGGCTCGGCTGGTCCCCAGACAGAGCTGTCATGTCCACATAGTCCAGCTTAAAATATGAGTTTGAGACTGAAATCAGAGGGTTTTCCTGGGACAAACAAGCCTGGCCTCTCCCAGAGCTCTCCAAACAAGGTCTCCTCCGGAGGGGCAGGCAAGTACATTCACAGCCCAGGAATGCTGTTTTTACTGCTCCCTGCCACTTGTTAGCTGTGGATCCAAACCAGCCTCCCCAAGGAAAACACCACCACATGCTTCCAGAAGGATCAGCCCAGGCCACCAGTGTGATCACACCAGCACCAACCAGGCAAACACCCGGGGCTGGAGGTTTCCCAGGGTAAGATGGAATGGTGTATGGGCCATGGGGATGCAGATCATCACCTGCCTTTACGCAGGTGGCAAAAAGCGTGTGCATGGAAATTCCCTTTGGAAAAGCTGATTAAAATGAACAGCATGGTGGCTCTTCATGTTAAACACATCCTGTGGATTTGGGATGTGTCATTTTGGAGGGAGGGATGAGCAAGACTGAGGTAGGGAAAAGCCAGGTTTACCAGAGGTTTACCACTGGTTCACCCATCACCAGGGATGAGCAGAGGCTGTTTGGGATCATCCAGATCACCTTCCCACGTGAAGTGCACTGACCCCATCTACGGGTGACACTACTTCAGGCTAAACACTCACAATATTGTTACAGCAGCAGGCATAGATTCAAAAGCAGTTTAGGACTCAGCAATGTGGAAGATCACAAAGTGCCATAGGATGGGTCCAGTGGAAGGTGTCCCTGCCTGTAGGATGGGGCTGGAACTAGATGAGCATTCAGGTCCCTTCCAACCCAAGCCATTCTGTGATTCTATGCTGCAGCTCAGGTAGTGTTGCCTGCTTGTATCTGTCATATTTATTAATAAATATTCAATACATATTATTAATAAATGGGATCCTTCTGCTTGGATGTGATTAAGAAAAAACAACCCCAAACCAACCCCTTCCTCACTCCCACCCAGCACAAACGATCCTCACCTCCTCCCTCTCCTGCTGCAAACCAGAACCTCAATTAGGAGGAGAGGATTCCCTCCTTTCACAAGGAAAGGAAACCACCACTGGCATCCCTTTGAGCATCCCTCCAGGAGCAGATCTGGGCACAGAGGCAAGCAGGGGCCACTCACCATGGTGCTCATGAGGATGTCGGTGCAGTCGGGGACCTCGATGGCCGGAGCAGTGATTAAAGTGATTTCTCCCCCTGAGTCCCCGTCGAGGCTGCAGGCCTTGCGGAAGGGAACCTCATCCAGGTAGCTCATCACTGCCGCCTGACTACTGTCTGCTGGAGGAAGGGGTGAAACACAACTGCAGAAGGTGCTGGTCGTGCCTTTTAAGTTGGGTGGAAGGAGAGAAGGGTGAGCTGTGTCAAGTGACAATGATAAAACAGCCCTTAAAGATGCTGCCACCTGAGTAAAAACCGTGCTGTGTAATGCCTTTCATTACTGATACTGGGAAGATCTGTCTGAACTACCCTTTGCTATTCTGAGCTTGAGCCAGCAGGACCTGACCAACTTTCAGCTTCCTTTGGAAGAGATCCTTAGTGTTTTCCACCAGTGCTTTCCATTCCTCCTGCCTCTCGCTCCAGTGCCCATCTCATGGTCCCTTTCCCAAGCTGGGGACAGACCGAGCACTTTTCCCAGTTGCAGAAGCAGAAACCCCAGCCAAGGAGGACACAGGACAGCCCGCAGGTTTCCTTTGTCTGTGTGACCTGAACACACCCTTGCTTATGGAGCTCACACACATGGCCACGTGCTCCTAAGCTGTCACACAGACCAGCCCAGGGAGCTGGCGTGAAGGCATCCCCACAGTGCCACAGCATCTTACCCTGAGCCAGGCCAGGAGGCTGGGGCACAGGCAAGCTCCAGGGTCAGGGGGGTATCAAAGAAGCCATTGTAAAAGCCCAATCAGCTTTTAAGAACCATCTATTCATTGTAAATGTGGTGAATTTTTTAGATCACTAAAGAGAAACATTTCTGATCAGCTGCAAGTGGTGGCATGGAAAATATTACTGCAGGAAGTCATTAGCTCTATATAAATGTCTCAATTTAGTACAAAGCCATTAGTTGCTGCATGAAACTTTGAGTCCCCAGCTTCCCAGCAATGACAGCATGCAAAATGATTTCCTTTATGTACTGGCAAGAGCTGGTCACCCTTCCACTGAGTCCTGGTACCTGCTGCCTGTGCCTGCTCACCCCAAAGTCTCAGCAGTCATCCCCAAGACACACACTCAATACTTGGTGAGATGGCTCTTAAGTGCTTTTACCAGTTGTTTTCAATTGTTTCACCAATTGGCTTCTATGACAAGGAGGATAGAAAAGAAGCAGATGAATATATGAAAGGGAGGAAAAGCTGCCTGTTGACTGCAAAAACAAAGGTCTACCATGGGAAATGGCATTCAAAGTAGTTTCTTATGCTAGCAAAGGACTAACAAACAGCTTCCAGACCACAAACAGCAACATGCACAATTGCTCAGTGCGAGTCAGTTGCTCTTATCAGAGTTACAAGAGTTGGCATTCAGCTGCTTACGCCAGGAGCCTTTAATACCCAGGGCTGTGTGCAGGCAGAGCCCCCCTTAACATGCTTTGTGGCTCCCACACATGTGCTGCTGCTCACATGCGACACAGGCAACGTGCTGTGAGCCTGCCCCGAGCCAGGCCATCTGCTCCCCAGCCTAAGAGGGCTCAGGGTAAGTTACAATCCACGTCAGCACTGACAAAGACAATGATGGAAACCTCTGTAAGTAAAGCCACTGTCCTCCAGCTTGCTCCAGCTCCTCTGCATGGCTGTGCAGCCCCTGCCTGCAAGAGGAGCAGCCCCTCCTTACAGTTCACACTGTGAATCAGCTCCTCCTAAAACCTGTGTGGCACAAAGGTGTGAAGGAAAGGGAATATCTCATTGTCCGTCACCTGGAATGGCTTTACTTGGGTTTAAATGCCACTTTAAGGGATGGGGATGGGTACTGAATGTGTCTGAAGCCATGATAGAGAGGTTACGGTACCATATCTCATTGATTTTCACTGCATAAATACTGTGCCTTAGGAAAAGCTCCTACAAGTGTTAATTCCCAAAACCACTGTATATCAAAACCAGAAGTACCCTAAGGTGTGGAGTGATGACAATGAACACAGCACTAGACAAGAGTAAAAGAGGGTCAGTCACAAGCACCAACTTACAGCATAAAGCAGCTCCTGTGAAGGTTCTGACTTCAGGTGCTCCACGCCAGCCCTGCTCACCTTCACGTCAAAGACACGGGCTGGCAAACAAACAAAGAGTCTCAGAAACTCAGAGCCAACCCCTCTATTTGACTGTGCTGTAATAGTTTTTACAACTTGAAAATAGTTAAAATAGATCAAACTGAACAGATCTGAATCATACATCAGAATATACAAGGGGTTTTTAAGAATACCCTGTCTGTATGGATTTTACGAGTTAAGATTTCCAACATTCCTCTTCCATCTGTGGTTTCAACATCTTCCTCACTAAAAATATGAAACATTTGAATGCAGACGTCACTAGGCAAGAGCAAATACGTAGAACAAACCACAGGAAGTTTGTGTTACATCTAAACACACACCATCCACTGGTGTTTCCAAGTCCTGTTTGTATTAGCAATAGGAAGTTATCTTACCTCCAGCTGAAGTCATGGAGCTCTCCTTGCAGGCAGGAGAACAGGGCTGCTCCTCTACTGCTGGCTTATCTGCTGCTCAGTTCCTTACATCTTGCAGTGGCAGGCAAGCATCTGACTGTGGCAGTTTTAAGATTATCATAGCTTAAGTGGTTAGCCCCATCAGACACGCTGCTGGGATAAGGAGCCTAACTGTTTAAGCAGAGCATCATCCAGGCACTGAGCTTCCTGAACTGAAGGAGCTGCTTCTGCAACTGTTTTCACACTCCTTGAACTGCTGTTTTTCCATCAGGTGACACGGTCCAGGATCTGACCCAGCCATAGGTTTGGGATTAATGAGATGCTGGAGGTGACATTAGGGATTTGAGGATGAACAGACAGGCAAATCAGAACCCCTGCCACCCGAGGACTTGTCAGCTGGATGTTGTCGTGCTGTAGGTTGGTGATACACGAGAGCATGAACTGCAAACTTCTGCACCCAGATTAATTCTAACTCTATCAAAACCAAATAGTTTGTGTGCTTGTATCAACAGAAATCAATGCCAAAAAACTATCAGCAACATACATATGGCCCAAGCATTGAATTTAGGTAACTGCATGTTGCCTCCTCCATGAATGTTGTGATGTAAAGAGGTAAGGGAGAGATTAAATCCATGCCCACATATTAGACCTAAGCAAGAATAACAACTGCAGCTCTGGAAAAATGCCACAACAATAAGCATAGACCAGCAAAGCCCCAAACCTATAGAGCCTGCAAATTGTCTAGGACATGGAAGGCTTTGGAATCAGATGCCTCTGTCACCCTGTTGTAGGGAGAAGTTCCTTCACACAAACCATTTGCCAGCACTGGAGTCATATTTGATGCCGAGTACTAAAGCAGATCTCTCCCTTGGAGGTAAAACACTTTGAACAAGGAAACATAAATTCCATTTTCCTCTATTTATTCTGTACAAAACCCAACTTACAAAATAGAGCTGCACTTTTAAATCAAATATTATACACATGAGCTGTCCCTATACAAGAATAGCCATATAGGCAAAACCAATTACTGTGAGCTAGACTCCAGATTTCACTGTTTGCTCTCCAGGAGGCTTGTTCACTGAATTCATCTATATTCACATGGCTCTCTGACCTATTTCACCATGACTAGGAATTCTTTCCATGCTGTGGTACCAGTTTTAGTCCACAAAAGTAAAATGTCAACAACTGCTTTAATCAACCTTCAAAAGCCCTGTCTTGTTTGTACTTCACCATTTGTTTAAGCTTGTAATGGGTTGGTTTCTACACACAAAAATACAGGAACTGTTTTGACAGCGAAGCTTGACAGGCTTTATTTAAGAAGAAAAACATGTTTTCTAATGATTTCTTTTTTCCCCTGAAGTCTTTATTTCTGGAGATTCCATCATCTGGACTTAGGCTTGTAAAGATAAAAGCCACTAAAAATAGGATGTTAATACTGGCACAAATACTCCTGTCAGCAATGTTTCTTTATTGAGATTCGTTAGCAAAAACTGGCAGCAGGATTGTAATTCCACACCACGAGAGGCCCAGCAGCTTTGGCCTTGCTCAGGTATTTCCCAGCAGAGTCAGGTGGCAAAACCAGTTCCTATTCTTTAAGACATTCCAGAACCCAGCTACTGAAACAGAGGATGAGACACGTCCTCTTCAGACCCTCTCATCTCTGCACGTGCCATGACAATGGAACATTCCTCCAATATCATCTATTACTGAGTCATCGAACAGCGGTGGCCCAAGTGTCATTTGTGGGGAGGCTCGGAAGAACCCATCCTGGAGGGATGCTGCTTCCTTCAGGGTGATCAGCTGGCACCAAGTACTGATCCCATTCATGCCTTTAACAGAGAGAGCACTGGATCAGAGGAGGGCTGGTAGGAGGTTGGTAATAAGATTTATCATATACCCACACAGTATGGATCAATACATGGAACACTGTTCCATGACAGGGAAGCCTGCCATGTGAGGAAAGGCTGGGTGTGCTCAGCCTAGAGAAAAGAAGGCTCAGGGGAGACCTTATCCCCATGTTCTAGTATTTATAAAGGGTGGCTACAAAGAGGATGGAGACTCCATTTTCACATGGAGTCACATGGAAAAGACATGGGGTAACGGGCACAAGTTACTCCTGGGGAGATTCCAACTGGACACAAGAAAGTTTTGCGCCATGAGAACAACCAGCCGTTGGAATAATCTCCCCAGGGAAGTGGTGGACTCCCCAGTGTTGGACACTTAAGACTCAGCTGGACAGGCTGCTGGGACATCTAGTGGAGGTCACGCTTTGCCTAGAAAGCTTGGACCAGATGATCCTCAAGTCCCTTCCAACCTGGAGGGATGGGACCATAAATTTTACAATCTTAACAAACAAAACTTGCCACCCTTCATAATAAAATAGATTTTGGTTTGGTTTTACCTGATCTGGATTAGAGCTGCTACAGAATGCTCAGCTTGTAAGTAATAGTCTCGGAAGGGCTGCAGTAGATGGGCTAGAGGAAATTCAGCTGTTAAAACACAAACAGAGGAACTGTTCACTAAACCAGAAAGACTGATTCTAGTAAGTCCTGGAAGCCCCAGATTTGCCAGCTCATTTGCTACTCCCCAGCTCCCACTTTAAATGAAATCCCTGTGTAATACGTTAAGGACTAGTTACATGTTTTGCATGTCTCCTCACCAGAGCTGTCAGAGGCAAGTAAACCAGCAGTATTTTCCTGTCTCCATCTTCTAAACAAGGGGAACATATGGCCACTGAATCGTTACAGATTACTGGAATCGCACTTTAACAAATCACCAGACTGAAGCATCTGTTGGGTGCTGGAAGTCTTCAATCTCTTGTGTTTAGTCTCACTTTAGCTTAATCTACAACCTCTTCTTGCAAAGCATTATGAAATTGTCTTGAAATACACCACAGCCTATGCTGAGGAGCACCACATGTGTTAACAGCACACTGTGTTTATCCCATCCTTTCCTTGGACCGTATTTTATTCCAGTGGATGATTTCTTTCTTTCTTTTTTAACTACCTTTCTGCCTGCATTTTAAACCCAGTGTCTATGGGGTGGGGGTGCAGTGGGAAAAAAACATGTCAAGTATAGCATGCTGGACAGAATTTACCTGGATCCCCAAACAGCTTGGAATCCATTTCGAGTTTCTGCTGTAGTAATTTTTCTCTTTCCTTCTTCTGTTTCTTTTCCATCTCTCTCTTCCTTTCCTCTTCCTGTTCTCCCTCCAGCATAACTCTCAATGCTCTCTCCTCAGCTTCATACAGCTCTGTGCGATTCTTGAGCAACGTTTTGAGACTCTCCACCTGAGTTTCAAAGGCTTCATCTGCCGAGGGGGGCGGACAGACACCTGAACAGAAAGAGAATTCATTTTGAACTTCCACATTCAGAAGCGGCTCTCTTACCAGATTTGAGAAGGAAGCTGGAACATGAGCCCAACCTTGCTAACAACCATCTTACTGGCATAATTCTTCTACTGGGAAAGAGCTTGGAAACACAGGAACACAACCACTGAATTCACAGAATCATAGAATAGTTCGGGTTGGAAAGCACCTTGAGATCATCCAGTTCCAACCCCCCTGCCATGGGCAGGGACACCTCACTCTGAACCATCTCACCCAAGGCTTTGTCCAACCTGGCCTTGAACACTGCCAGGGATGGAGCATTCACAACCTCCCTGGGCACCCATTCCAGTGCCTCACCACCCTGACAGGAAAGAACTTCTTCCTTATACATAAACTTGCCCTGTTTAAGTTTCAGCAGTTCACAACTATTCTTGCATAACAACATAACTAAAATCACTAATGAACAGCTTTTTCAAGCTGCACCTTGCCAGTTGGCACAGGACACTCACATCAGCTTATGTCCTGTGTGTGCAATTAGAAGCTTAGCAAAAACCTCATCATTAACCTTTCCTGGCAGCAGCCTCTTTCCTCAGTTTCCGAAGCTTCTCCAATGCGCGCAGGATGTCCACCATCCTCTTGGTGTCTGCTTGTTTCTTCCGTACTTCAGATAAGACACTGTCTGCAGCAGCCTTAAGCTCTCGCTCCTGTGAAAGAGAAGAAAACCAGACATGATGTGTGATATGTCCCAAACATCCCACACAGACAAGAATGAAATGGTACTCTCAAACAGATCACTGGATATAACAGTATCATCCCAGTGACTTTGCAGCCATAGCAAGTGAAACAAGTGAAATCACCCCTCCAACCTTGCCTTTTGATGAAAAAGCTAAAACATGATAGACTTTAAGAGACAACAAAAGAATACTGAGCAACTCCTAAATTCAGGCCAAACGGCTATTGAATCCTCAAAGCCAGATAACCAGCCTTTCAGCACACAAAGTCAGGAACAACACTAACCATAGACATAAACCATCCTCATTCTACAGCCTGGCAGCTGAACACCATTAATGTGCCACAGACCGAACACAAAACCTTTCCCGAGAGCTGCTCTGTGCCACCCAGCACCAGCACAGGGGTAGCTCTTTAGCCATCAGTCAAAACAAAGGTGCCAACAGCACTTCCCAGCAAGCCTAAAGTGAGGGGGGTTTAATCCTTTGAGGCCATTTTACTTCCCGGTAATAGTGAAACACTTGCAAACAAGCTTTGCAGCATGAAGCCAGCAGGCAAGGGTTATGGTTATAGGGATGGTACGGACCACCATAAACTGTGTGAGCAGTGAGGGCAGGCTTGGGACCAGACTTTCACACCCAACCAAGAGTTCAGAATCCAGTTAAATTCTGACTATGAAGGCCTACAACAAGAGTGTGGCAAAGCCCAAGGCTTTCAATGAAGAAACAGGGCTACAAGCCATGGAAACCGCACATCTTCAGCACGCTGGACCCATGCAGCACCCAGCTGCAGACCTAAATCCAGAGGCCGGCAGACACAGCCCTGCGGTGAGCCCATGACCAACAGGTCTCCCCCCGCTCCAACCACCGCGCCCGGAGCCCAGAGGGACTCGCAGCAGTCCCCGTAAGGCCAGAGGACAGTTGGGGGAGGAGGATGAGCCCCCTCGGAGCCATACCCGGTTCTTCTCCTCCACCTCCTGGATGCACTTGGCTCTCCACTGGTCGATCTTGGCCTCCCGCTCTGCGGCCCGGGCCTTCTCCTCCTCCTTGGCCGCCCTGGCCTCCTGCTTCCTCCGCTGCAGCCGCTGCCTCCTCTTCCTCGCCCTCTCAACCTTCCTCCGCAGCGCCTCCCGGTACCCGGGCTCCCTCAGGGGCCGCACGACCTCCCGCAGCTCCTGCCGCGCCGCCTCCGCCTCCTCCCGCACCTGGGCCCAGCCCGCCTCGTCGGCCTCGGCCTCCCGCTGCCGCAGGGCCCTGCAGAGCGCGGCCAGCCGCGCCACCCGGCCCAGCGCCGCCACCGCCAGCTCCCGGGCGCTGCTGGGGCTGGCGGCCGCGGGCGGCGGCGGGGGAGCGGCCTGGCGCCGGCCCAGGAACTGCGACAGCCATAGTTCGTCCTGCTGCCGCTGCGCCGCCTCCTCCTCACCCACCGGCCGCGGCGGGAACGGCGGCGCCGCCGGGAAGAACTGGCTGCCGGCCGGAGGGAAGCGCGGCCTCGCTTCGCCCTCGGGCCCGGCCGGCGGCGGCAGCGGTGGCAGCAGGAAGGGCCCCGGTCGGGCGGCGGGGCCGGGGAAGGCCGCGGCGGGCGGCGGGAAGGGCCCCACGGGCGGCGGGAAGGCCCGGAAGGGCGGCGGGAAGCGCCCGCCGAACGGAGAAGGCTGCGCCATGCTGCCGCCTCCACCTGCTACACCCGCAGCGCAGCGCCGCCTGGCGGCGGGGAGGACCCGTCCCTCCGCGTCCCCCCCCTCCACAGCCTTTTTCTCATCTGTGAATCACTTAAAAGCCTTAAAACCCCCAAATACCCTTAAACTTTAAACCTTCTGGGGCTGACGTGAGGGATGACAACGCTCCGGTGCTTGAGTATTCGCTCGGTTTTATTCAAACGGCAGAGGTGAAGTACAAACTGTAGTTACAGAGCGATTTGTTTCCTTAAAAAGTTTTGTTTTACATAATTCCAAACAACTTTCAAAACTAAGTTGTTGAACAGTTTCACCTAAAAGGCTGGGGTTTGGTTTTAATCCATTTAAAAAGGGAGCTGAATGACAGGAGTCAGAATTAAAAGCGGTTATATGCACTTTTTCCACTCTAAAAGGAGGAAAGTAAGGATGCAGGTACAGATAGTTCACCCCAGATTCCCATTGTGAAGGCTCTAAGCTCCTATAAATATCCTCAACTCTCAATGCAGCTTTTTCTGAACCATTAGTGGGTCGTTTTACCTGAATAAAACCCGAAATCCTAAGGGAAGTATCTGCTGCACCTGGCTACAACTGCATGTCACACTGCTTCTAGGTCAGAACACAAGTTATCACATTAAATTTACATAACAAAAATCAACAGAAATAGGGTCAATGCATCCACGGTAACCTCTCCTGCCCTAAAACATCCAACTAGATTGAAAAGAATGGTGAGAGTTTCATTTAAATAGCATGAATTTAAATGTTAAAAGAAAGGGGCAGTAAAATCTAAGCCCACGTATCATTGAAGAACAAAAAGATGCAAGTAACGATTCTAATTCCCAAAGCAAACCCAAAACATACAGGTCCTTTAGTGTTTCCACAAAGACTCTCCTAAAGGATTGGATTCATTTTGGTGTAGAACAGAAGAGGGAGGATCGCTTTGCTACCAGACTAGAAATCAAAGACAAAACCACAAGAAGCACTACCAGCATTGGAGCAGATAACTTAAAAAGCGCCGTGTGAACGATCACTACCGGTTACATCAAAAATATGATACATTTACTTCTTTCATCTCTTAACATTATAAGATAGAGGTTGGGCAAAGTGCACCAAAAAACTGATGCATGATAGTTCCAATACGTTAAACAAAATGTACTATATTAGAACATTAATAGTTAAAAACTGATGTTGACTTCTCGTCCAAATTCAGATGGCTTACCGCATCCTAGAAATCCTCTGGAAAAATGAATTACCAAGTTCTGACTTCACCTCCTTTCACGGTATTCCAGGTGATGAAAACGTACTCCTAATGGAGAGGTGAAGGGTAATTATTTGCTATTGCATTTCAATTACTGTAACAAACTAGTGTCACATCTTAACATGATCTCCCAGCAGCGTCACAAAGCGTGTCCCAGTTTTTCCACCCAGTGTTTCCGCTGTAACAAGTCACTCCAGCACCCACCCGGCTCCAACCCAACACTGACCCCAGTGCAAGCCCCTGTGAGGAGCTAATGGTTTATTCACCCTCCACCAATTATCCATCTTGATTCCCACGTTTGTAGAGTAATATTATTGTAAAATCTAACTACTGCAGCACCGGCGTTGCTGGTTTAGTTTCTAGGAAGAGCGATGGATCGAGGTGCTGCTGGATTTGCTATACATTTTAATTGAACAAGTGTAATATACAATTCATATTTGAACATTATGCCATCCAAGTCCACACAATGTCCATCGGGTAAATCAATGTGATGTTGCAATAAAATACACGATCTGCTTGAGCTAATAAAGTTCCTCATCACGTATCCAAGATAGATCCAATGCCTTTTAGTATCAGACTGAAGCCAGAAATAACCAAGTGTGCTTTATGCAGGCGAGCATTCTGACAGTATTTAATGGTTTGCAGCATCTGCTTGTCGAGGCCAACCTTCTTCCTCCACACCAGAATCATATTCTTCCTCAGATGAATCTTTAGTGGGAGCCCTATAATTAAAATGAACTGATCAGATACTTTACAGTTTCTGTAGCTTACGGTCAACATGCTACCCCAGTGAAAATTGCCCTGATGAGCATTTACCTGCTGAACAACCTTCTGAGCTGAAAATGATGCTATGCAGATTACTACCAGTACACACTCTCATTACTGAGAGCACACAAGCTGTTGAATTCAGTTGAGTCATTTAATTTAATCAATAAATTTTGTATTTCCAGCAAATATGATGGTGGTGCTCTACAAAATCCCATAAAGCAGCCATCAGTGTAAGTAATCATTATCTGTAAAAGCAGGGTACTCTCCACTCCAACTATCCCCTTCGAGACACAAGCTTCAGCACAGAGGAATACAAACCATGTAATTCAGTGGATGAAGTTACCCCCCAGAACTGGTCAGGGATAAAAACCAAGTCAGAGTTCCTCAATTTCAGACCTATGTTTTTAACCTGACCCATTCCCTCTCAACTCCATCCTTTGTTCACTAAAATCAAGACAGTTTTGTATTCCTAAATCCAGATTTTTCCCCATGCTTTCAGCACTCCACCACAACCTTAACCAGAGCATAGCCTTTACAACATTAAATTGTTTTAAGAGCTCAGCAAATCAGTAGATGTGCCTTTGTGGCTCTTCGTTCTTCTTCATTGCAAAAGCAATGGAGAAGAAAACTGCAGCAGCCTGCACAAAAATCAGCCTCAGTGACAGAAAGTAGTAGGTGAAAGTAAAAAGTTCCATTTCAGGAATTTCAGTAGAGTCACAGTTAAACTTCAGCTTTTTACTGTTAACTCATGATGCTTATAATTCACTTCTATTTCTACAGGTATACACACACACACAAAAGGCTTAAAGTAACTTCATATGCAAGTTTATTTTTAGATTTCTATTTAAACCCTAATGCAATACAACCCCAAATTATCCCAAAGCCCCTAGACAGAATAGGCACTAGTTCAGCTGTGTGCAGCATATAGAGACTTGGATCCCTTTTAGGTTGTGTGTTTATAAGCTTGTTCCTACAGCAAACAGCAGAATAACTGTCTAGCTGTATAACTCGTCTGCTCTGAAACATCTGTTATGGTTTTACCTAATGTATCCTGGCTCTTTTTTGCCTTCTACAACATCTTTGTCAACTTCCACACAGACAATGTCAGAATTGGGCACTTCAAACATGGGCTCCAGTAACAGCTTCTCCTACAAGAAAATAGAAGGGGCAAAACATTAGTGTATATCCTGTCAAATATTTCTTCCACATAACAATATGGTCAGGAAGTGATTTTCAGAGCTAGAGAGTTTTCTTGGAAGACAGGATTTATTGCATCCCATGGACCCAAAACTAAGTGAAGCTGTGATTGAAAACTGTCATGTTTAGGTCCATGTGCAAAAACGTAAGTAGCTTCTTTACTCAACGTGAAAATTTACTCACCATTATAGATCGAAGGCCTCTTGCACCAGTTTTTCTTTCCAGGGCCAGTCTGGCTATAGCCTTCAATGCATCTTCAGTTACATTTAATTCACACTACATAGAGAAAAATGTCAGATTTGTTTCATTTATAACTCAAGAGTGGGTTGAGTGCAACAGTGCAAGTGTTACTGAAAATAACAGCAGTGATTTACTTGTTACAGACCACAACAACGTTTAAGCTTCAGCTGCTCTTTGGTTTTGACTAATGTTACCAGAATTTACTATGCCCCTTTATCTCTACACTAAATGAAGTGGCTTTCGATGCCTCCTAGGCAAGGTCACGGATGCTCATTTGAACATGAACATCAAGTGCAGCTCCAACTACTTCCACGTTACTCACCCCACAAGGACAGTTACCCATTGTAAGCCAGTCAGGTTTTAACCAGTTTGCTTACTTTTTCTTCCACAGTGGGGAGGAAGAAGCAAATTTCAGCTGCTATTTTAGATCACTTCAACACTGTATTTATAAACAAGAATACTGAAGAGTCCCCAGATAAAAACTTTTAACCTTATCCATGCTGAACAGGGCCTGGTACTGAGGAACCACAGCATTTCGTGGCTCAGTAAGAATCCGTACAAGGGTTTTCTCGTCCAGGCTGTGCAGAGGAACCACCACGGGCAAACGTCCCACAAACTCAGGAATCATGCCAAACTCGATGAGATCCCTGGCTTCCACGTGACGCAGCAAGCGATCTTTCTCTTCTATTTCTTCCTGGGGATCAGACTCCCCACTTATATTAGCAAGATCAGCAGCTGCTGCAGCCCTTCTGCCTTTGCCCATGTTAGCTGGCGTGCCAAATCCTAGATACTGCAACACAAACATATTATTCTTATAGAATTATAATAGTTTTTTAATGTAACTAAATCACTTTCTATGTGCATTAAAAAACCCTGGAGTGACTGATTATGTCATTACATACAGACTCAAGAAAATACTTACAGTAAAATTACACCCCTTGCACAATCAGTTTCTTACAACATTTAATCCCCTCAGTAAAGTATCAAGACACCAGCCTAACAGCAAGGTTATCAGTGTATCCTCATCAGTTTACGCATCCCAGTGATGCTAAAAAGGGCTCTTCAGACGTTAAGCAAATGCATGCAAGAGTGCTTGCATGAAAAGCTACCTGAATTATCATAAAATGTGGATTTCAGTCACCTCTCTTGTTAGAAACAGGGTGCACATTTGGCAGAAAGCTGCAGCCACAAGAACTGTCCCCAGACATGAATACAGAACACAGTGAACTGCATGACCAGGTGTTTTAAGCTGATGCCAGCTTTTAGCACCATTTGCTCAAACTATGAGTATAAACAGTGAAAGTTTTCTTCTAGGGATATCAAAGGTTCTCTCAGTTTCCTACTTGGGATACTCCAACTGAAAGAAATCCTATTACAACTGTTTCACATACTCTGTCTTTAAGAAACACTGCACATTGCAACAGCATAAGTTTACCAGGTAAGTAGGGACAGCAAGTGGGTCCCCAACAGCCTTTCACCCTCCCTATTTGCATATGCTAAAAATCTCTCTCTGGAAGCAGAGATCATTGCAAGCTACTTAAGC